AAATTTAAGAAAACTGAATCATATCAAGCATCTTTTCAGACTACAATGCTATTAGACTAGATATCAATTACAAGAAAAAAACTGTAACAAACACATGGAGATCAAACAATGCGTTTCTAAATAACCAACAGATTACTGAAGAAATCATGAGGGAAATCAAAAAATTTCAAGAAACAAATGATAATGAAAACATGACAACTCAAAACTTATGGGATGGATCAAAAGCAGTTCTAAGAAGGAAGTTTAGAGCAATATAATCCCACCTCAAGAAACAAGGAAAACATCGAATAGACAACCTACATTTACACCTAAAACTGGAAAAACAGAAAAACCCCAAAATTAGAAGAAGGAAATCATAAAGATCAGAGCAGAAATAAATGAAAAAGAAATGAAAAAACAGCAAAGATTAATAAAAGTAAAAGCTGGTTCTTTGAGAAGATAAACAAAATTGACAAACCTTTGGCCAGACTCATCAAGAAAAAAAGAGAGAAGAATCAAATCAACAAAATTAGAAATGAACAAGGAGAGGTTACAACAGACAATGCAGAAATACAAAGGATTATAAGAGACTATTATGAACAACTATATGGCAATAAAATAAATAAGCTGGAAGTAATGGACAGATTCTTAGAAAAGTTCAATCTTCCAAGACTGAACTAGGAAGAAATAGAAATTATGAACAACCCAATTACAAGCACTGAATTGAAGCTGTGGTCAAAAATCTTCTAAAAAACAAAAGCCCAGGACCAGATGGCTTCAGAGGAGAATTCTATCAAACATTTAGAGGAGTGAGAGCTAATGCCTATCCTTCTAAAACTCATTCAAAAAATTGCAGAGGAAGGAATGCTTCCAAATTCATTCTATGAGGCCACCATCACCCTGATACCAAACCCAAACAAAGACAACCCCCCCAAAAAAACCTACAGGCCAATATCACTGATGAACATAGATGCAAAATTCCTCAACAAAATTTTAGCAAATAGAATTCATCAACACATTGAAAAGCTTGTACACCATGAGCAAGTTGGGTTTATCAGAGGGATGCAAGAATTCTTCAATATATGGAAATCAATCAATGTGATACACCATATTAACAAATTGAAAGATAAAAACCATATGATAATCTCAATATATGCAGAAAAAGCCTTTGACAAAATTCAGCACCCATTTATGATTAAAACTCTTCAAAAAATGGGCATAGAAGGAAACTATCTCAACATAGTAAAGGCCATATATGATAAGCCTACAGGCAAACTGAAAGCATTTTCCCCCTAAGATCAGGAATAAGACAAGAGTGTCCACTTTAACCAATATTATTCAACATAGTTCTGGAAGTCCCAGCTACAGCAATAATTTAGCAAAGCTGCAGGATACAAAAATCACTTGCATGTCTATATACTAACAATGAAAAATCAGAAAGAGAAATTAAGGAATCAATTCCATTCACCACTGCAACAAAAACAATTAAGTATCTTGGAATAAACTTACCTAAGGAGACAAAAGAACTGTACACAGAAAATTATAAGACACTGATGAAACAAATCAGAGATGACATAAACAGATGGAGAGATATTCCATGTTCCTGGGTAGGAAGAATCAATATTGTGAAAATAACTATACTACAAAATGCGATCTACAGATTCAATTATATCCCTATCAAATTACCAATGGCATTTTTCACAGAACTCGAACAAAAAATGTCACAATTCACATGGAAACACAAAAGACCCCAAATATTCAAACTCATCTTGAGAAAGAAGAATGGAGCTGGAGGAATCCACCTTCCTGACTTCAGACTATACTAAAAAGCTACAGTCATCAGGACAGTATGGTACTGGCACAAAAACAGAAATATAGACCAATGGAACAAGATAGAAAGCCCAGAAATAAACCCATGCACCTATGGGTACCTTCTTTTTGACAAAGGAGGCAAGAATATACAATGGGGCAAAGAAAGCCTCTTCAATAAATGGTGCTGGGAAAACTGGACAGCTACATGTAAAAGAATGAAATGAGAGCACTTCCTAACACAATACACAAAGATAAACTCAAAATGGATCAAAGACCTAAATTTAAGACTGGAAACTATAAAACTCTTAGAGGAAAACATAGGCAGAACACTCGATGACATAAAGCAAGATCCTCTATGGCCCACCTCCTAGAGTAACAGAAATAAAAACAAAAGTAAACTCGTGGGACCTGATTAAACTTAAAAGCTTTTGCACAGCAAAGGAAACTATAAGCAAGGTGAAAAGACAACCCTCAGAATGGGAGAAAATAGCAAATGAAACTGACAAAGGATTAATTTCCAAAATATACAAGCAGCTCATACAACTCAATGCTAGAAAAACAACCCAATCAAAAAGTGGGAAAAAGACCTAAACAGACATTTCTTCAAAGAAGACATACAGATGGCTAACAAACACAAAAAAAGATGCTCAACAATGCTCATTATTAGAGAATTTTCCCTGATGCTGGGAAAGACTGAAGGCAGGAGGAAAAAGGGACAACAGAGGATGAGATGGTTGGATAACATCACCAACTCAATACACATGAGTTTGAGTAAGTTCCGGAAGTTGCTGATGGACAGGAAAGCCTCGCATGCTGCAGTTCATGGGGTCACAAAGAGTTGGACACGACTGAGTGACTGAACTGAAGACAAATGCAAATCAAAACTACAATGAGATATCACCCCACACTGGTCAGAATGGCCATCATCAAAAAGTCTACAAACAATAAATGCTGGAGAAGGGGTGGAGAAAAGGGAATGCTCTTGCACTGCTGGTAGGAATGTAAATTGATAGGCCACTATGGAAGATGGTATGAAGATTCATTAAAAAACTAGGAATAAAATCACCATATGACCCAGCAATCCCACTCCTAGGCATATACCCTGAGGAAACCAAAACTGAAAGAGACACATGTATCCCATTGTTCATTACAGCTATATTTAAAATAGCTAGAACATGGAAGCAACCTAGATGTCCACTGACAGATGAATGGATAAAGAAGTTGTGGTACATAAACACAATGGAATATTACTCAGCCATAAAAAGGAATGCATTTGAGTCAGTTCTGATGAGGTGGATAAATCTAGAGCATTATTATAGAGAGTGAAGTAAGTCAGAAAGAAAGATAAATATCATATACTAATGCATATATACAGAATCTAACAAAATGGTACCTAAGAATTAAAAGCAATGGAGAAATAGACATAAGAGAATTGACTTACAGACATGGGGAGAGGGGAGGAGAGGGTGAGATGTATGATGAGAGTAACATGGAAACACTTATATTACCATATGTAAAATAGATAGCCAACAGGAATTTACTGTATATCTCAGGAAACCCAAATAGGAGCTCTGTAGAAACCCAGAGGAATGGGATGGGGAGGGAGATGAGAGGGAGGTTCAAAAGGGAGGGGATATATATATGCCTATGGCTGATTCATGTTGAGGTTTAACAGAAAACAATAAAATTCTGTAAAGTAATTATCCTTCAATTAAAAAAACAAAACAAAACACAAAAAACACACTAGGGTGGTCCACTGGTTAAGAATCCACCTTTCAATGCAGGCGTCATGGGTTTGATCCCTGGCCATGGAACTGAGACAACTTAGCTGTCCATGCTTCAGGACAACTAAGCCTGCACCCCCAACTAGAGAAAACCCATGCACCACAACAAAGAACCAACACAGCCAAAAAAGAACAACAAACAAAACCTATAAATGTATAACATCAAGAATGAAGAAGAACTTTGGGTGATAATGTGTCAGTATAAATTCATCAAATGCAACAAACAGGCCACTCTGTACAGGACATGTTGATGGTTGGGGAGACTGTGCATGTGTGGGGTCAGAAGGTATTTTCCACTCAACCTCTGAATTTTCCACTCAGTTTTGCTGTTGAACCTAAAAATGCTAAAACTCAACTGAACCTAAAACTCAATTTTGCTGTTAAACCTACAGTTGCTCTAAAAGATAAAGTCTATTGAATAAATTTTATGTATATACCTACATATTAAATTTTATGTATATACATACATATTAATCCCCCTTCGCAAACCTCCACATACATTTACCTATGTTATTTGCTAGTTCTGTTCATGAAGAAAGCCTCTAAACATTGACCAACCTGGTAGAAATGAGCACCCCTCACACTCAGTTTCATCCTGAAATACAATTCTGCCACTAAACAAAATCGGGGCTTTTTGGATAAAAAGACAAATTTCAAGTAGGAAATATATAAGACTAGAACATCTTATCACAGAAGACAACAAGAAAGCTAACTACTATAGTCACTAGTAGATGATTTATTAGGGTCAGAGCAAAGTGACACAGAAGGCCTAGTAAAGAGACTAAGTATAAACATATGAGGTCATAACATTTTTAAAAATCTAATTAATAACTTTCAGAGAATAAGGAAAATTGCTAAATAACAAAAAAGAATCTTGCCTCTTCTATATGAACTGTAATACTGATAACTAAATAATAGGTAAAATGAGAATCGCTATTTTGCCACATCCAAAGAATTAACATATATGCAATGTGCACCAATATCACAAAAAGAGATGCAACTAGATATAATGTGATGAAAGCATACACTACTGCTTATATTCCTGCTATAGGAACCGAGCACACATTTCATTGTATCACTTCACCGACCTGCCAATCTGCAGAAAATACACAGGTCAAAGAGACATATTGGAAAGCACCAAGAGAATGTAATCAGCATACATGTGGTTTCTTGGTAATCATTGTCTAAGTAAGAACTTAAAATTTTTCTTCTAAATATTTTTACTGAAATAAGACTCAGTAATATGCCAATGTTTATACTGTTTATACTTCATTTTTTTATAGTTTAGCAATATACCCTATAAAGAAACATAAAATTTTCATTACTTTAATTCCTTTCTCCACTAAAAAACTGAACCAGTGTATGAGAGAACCCTGAAAGAAAGATCTTAACTTCAAAATTTATGAGAAATAATGAAAAACTTACTGGGTAAACTTTTAACCTCCAACAAAGTCCTGAAACTTGAAGAGGTGGACTGTAAACAGGATCTGCTCTCTGGCGCAAAGTACTAAAATAAAAGAAAACCAACCAAATCCCAAGATCAAAACTGTTGTGAAGTTCCAACAGGCAAAACCAAAACCCAACCACTTATGTTACTTATTTGATGTCCTAGACCAGTAAATGAAGGTGACTAAAGAAGTCAAGAGTCCACTACATGAATGTGTATATACGAACATTCTGAAATAAAAGAAATTTTAATGATACAGAAATATTCAGCAGTATCTTTTAAGTTTCAGGTTAAAAAAAAAAACAACCTCTCAATATGTCTTGAATGTAACTACCACGTCATCAAGCAGTTTTTCAGCATTAAAGGGGTAAAGAAACGTGGGGAAAACCTGTTTATATTTTAGCAACAAAATTATTACATAAGAAAAAACAAAATAAATTGGAAGTGGTATAAATCCAGGCCTTAGTTTGATGTGTTACCTACCACCCCTTGGCATTTTCTCTTCCCCAGGCAAGATCTCTTATTTTTTGTTCCCCACTTCCATGATACCCTTTAAGCCAAGTCCCTTTGGATCTCTGTGTTTTAAGATCTTGGTTTTTAATCTTACAGAAAAAGCAGTAAAAGCTAACAGACTTAGCATGCAAGTTACAAAACTTACAAATTTCTTGCACTAATGTCCTCTCATCCACAAGGTCTCACTTAGGACTGAGATAAATGGGCCCAAATGGACTTCTTCCCACCATTCTTGTTTCTGAGGATGGGCAGGAGGGCTCATCAATCTGTCATCCCATTCACCTCATTTTATTAATAAAAGCTAAGTGA